TTTTTCATCAGCTTAATATTTTGCCATTTATTGGTTAATTTGACATGCTGGAAATGTTTTTTTTTATTGTTATTTTGGACTGGAAAGTTGATTTCTTTAAATTTTTATTACTCTTTTAATGTTTCTTCGTTCATTCAAAAATGCATGCAAAAAAATAAGTATTTTTTGGATTATAAAGATATTTTCTTTCCTGTTTTGACCCTCATTGTTTGTGTTTATTAGTTTATTTGATGTGCTGATAAATGCATGCAAACCTTGAGCTAAAAGAGCATACAAAAATACTGCCTAAATTATCATTTGTTTTATTAAAAAGGTGATTAAAATAGGACAATATTTATTAGTTTTTCATCATTTTAATATTTATGCCATTTATTGGTTAATTTGACATGCTGGAAATGTTTTTTTTATTATTATTTTGGACTGGAAAGTTGATTTCTTTTCATTTTTACCCTTGTTTTCAGGTTTATTTGTTCATTTTATGTGCTAAAACTGCACAGGAATAGGAAGGTTTAACAGGAAGGTGAAAAAACTGTAATATATATTAATTATTTTTGGTTTTACTAGTTCATTTGAAAACTATTTTTTTTTTATTTCTTTGGACTGAAAAGTTAATTTCTTTACATTTTTATCACTCTTTTATTGTTTATTCGTTCATTAAAAAATGCATGCAAAAAAAATTGTAGTTTTTAGGTTTATTTGATGTGCTAAAAATGCACAGGAATAGGAGGGTTAAATAGGAAGGTGACAAAATTTGTGTAATAAATAATCATTTTGTTTATCATTTATTTTTATTTTGGTTTTGTTAGTTCATTTGACATGCTAAAAACTAAATTTGTGATTTTTTTGGACTGAAAAGTTAATTTCTTAAAACTTTTATCCCTCTTTTACTGCTTATCAGTTAATTGGATTCCCTCTTTTAATGTTTTAATTTTTATTCATTCATTTGATGTGCTGAGAAATGCATGCCGTAATGCATGTCATAAAGGTGATTAAAATAGTATAATATTTATTAGTTTTTTTTCATCATTTTAATATTTTTGCTTTTATTAGATCATCATGCTAAAAAAACTATTAACAATTAAATTTTTATTCCTCTTATAATCTTTTATTGCATAGTGCATGTGAAGTGCTGAAAAAATGTGCGTACAAAACATTGTACAATTTTTTTGACTGAAGTGTACCCTCATTTTTGTGTTTATTAGTTCATTTATTGTGCTGAAAATGCACTCAAAAACATCTAAAAACAATCATTGTGTCTTGTATTTTTACCAGAAAGGTAATTACAAATAGTATAATAGCTTAAAATGCATGCAAAAAATTATTAGTTTAAAATGTGTCATTTTTTGAAGAGGAAAAATTATTCAAAATAGAGCAATATTTTAAGTCACAAATCATTTAAAGTGATTTTTTATTTAATGCAGAGTGTATAAAATGTGCAGCACTAACATTATAATGTGTGAAAAAAAATCTGTCTCAAATCGGACATTTCTAGCACAGCAAATCCAATATCTTACTGTAAAATTAGCCATTTTTAGTTATTCTCATTTCTAAAATATTACATATAGTTCTCAGCATAATTAAGTACACCCCATTTTGAAAATTAACATTTTTATCCTTTTCTCAGTGAATATAGGTAATATATTTTGGTGCATTTGAACAAAAAATTATTATTTAATGAATATATTTTGTCACCTTGGAATTATAAGGTTCTCTCTGCGTTCTGAATGATTTTGAGATATCGAGATTTAAAGTTTTTGCATTCCATAGCAGACAGTGTGTGTGTGTGCAACATTTAAAAAAATATATAAAAATCTTAAAATGTAAACAACTTATAAAAAACCCCATCCTATAATGTAAATAAGTTGTCATTTACAAAAATATGTCAATAACTCAATTTTGACAAAAATGTCAGACAGAACTTTATAATTCTAAGGTGACGATTTATTAAAATAATATTTCAGTCACCCGACATCTATAGAAACAGAAAAGTAATGTATTTAAATTCATGCAAATTACTGTGAAAAAATACAAGCTACCAAAAAGTTTTTTGATTCTCTTAAAAAATTCCTTTTTACATTTTTTATTTCATATTTTCCCCCGATTCCCCCTTAAATATGGGTGCACTCATTTTGTACCGTTATCATAAGTTATTTTGTTAGATTAGTCCTAATATATATGCACAAATGAGGGGTGTACTCATGTATGCTGAAGAGTTGAAAAATTATTCGCCCTCCATATGTTTTCTTTCTCAAATATTCCCCAAATGATGTTGAACAGATTCAGGAAATTTTCACAGTATTTCCTATAATATTTTGTTCTTCTGGAGAAAGTCTGATTTGTTTTATTTCGGCTAGAATAAAAGCAATTTTTAATTTTTTAAACACCCTTTTAAGATCAATATTATTAGCCCCTTTTAGCTAAATTTGCAAGAGCAAACCACTGTTATACAATGACTTGACTAATTATTATAACTTGCCTAATTAGTAACCTAGTGAAGCCTTTAAATGTCACTTTAAGCTGAACACTAGTGTCTTGAAGAATATGTAGTCTAATATTATGTGCTGTCATCATGACAAAGAGAAAATAAACCAGAAATGAGAAATGAAATGTTATTAGAAATTAATTATTAAAACTATCAATGTTTATAAATGTGTTGAAGAAATCTTCCCTGTTAAACAGACATTGTGTGGAAAATCTAAAGGCTTGAAGTGTCAGAGGAGGGCTGATATAGTGAGTCGGTGTGTGTCTGTATGTAATATCGCCGTGTCTGCTGCAGAGTCTGAGTGTCTGTGGGCTGTAAATGCAAATGCAGGAGCACTAATGTGAGATAATCTTACGAGCGTCTCAGACACTGCAGCTCAATGTCTGATGAATGTGAAAGAGTTCAGATCAAACACGCTGGCACACGGCTCAAATAAACCCGCTGGAGACGCCCGTCTGCCCACACACACTCACTCATGTCCAGCACTCATATACACACCATCTGATGTTGAGTGGGTGTAATTGGCCAAAAATAATAACACTCTGCATATCGCACTTATTATAATGAGACTTGAAACAATCAAAATAAGCAAATATATCAAACACAAGACACATAAATTACCATAAACTTAGAAATAGTGTATACGTGTGTGTGGTGTGGGTGTATGTAAACGTGTGGGTTACTGTGTAAGTGTATATATATGTATATATATATATATATATATATATATATATATATATATATATATATATATATATATATACATATATGTAGTGCTCAGCATAATGTGTACACACCATTTTAAAAATAAATATTATTCTCCTTTTCTCAGTGAATATATTAAATGTATTTTTGGACTAATATTTTATCCGCCTAACATATTTAGAAATTGAAAGATAATACAATCAAATTCAAGCAAAATATTGCAAAAAATTACAACCAAAAAAATTAAATTTGTATTTAATATTTTTCTATAACATATAAGTTTGGCTGTACTAGTCTTTGATCGTTATCTTAGGTTATTGTGTTAGATTAGCTCCAGATTTGGCTTCAGTATTGACTAATCTAATGTACATGCACAAATACAATACTGTAGAGCTTCCTATAAAACATGGATTTAAAAGAGATTTGTGAGGGTTTACTTATATATGCAGAGCACTGTATGTATGTGTGTATGTGTGTGTGTGTGTGTGTGTGTGTGTATACATATATATATATACACACACACACACACACACACACACACACATATGCGTCACTGTGAGTGCATCTGTGTGTCTGTGTAAATATTTGTGTTACTGTGAGTGTATACGTGTGTGTATAACTGTATATGTGTGTGTCTAAATGTGTGTGTATACATATGTGTGTGTCTCACTGTGATTGTATATGTATCTGTATATATATGAGTATCTACATGTCTGTATATGTGTATGTATATGTATGGGTATATATTCATTTTGTGTGTGTGTGTGTGTGTGTGTGTATACATACAGTTTAAGTCAGTTATTCGCCCCCCTGTTTATTTTTTCCCCAAAATTAGAGATTTTTTTCAGCACATTTCTAATCATAATAGTGTTAATAACTCATCTCTAATAACTGATTTATTTTCTCTTTGTCATGATGACAGTAAATAATATTAGACTAGATATTCTTCAAGACACTTCTATACAGCTTAAAGTGACATGTAAAGGCTTCACTAGGATAATTAGGGTAACTAGGCGTTGCATTGTATAACGATGGTTTGTTCTGGAGACTATTGAAAAAAAATAGCTTAAAGGGGCGAATAATATTGACCTTAAAATGCTGTTTAAAAAAAATAATAACTGCTTTTATTCTAGCTGAAATAAAACAAATAAGACTTTCTCCAGAAGAAAAAATATTATCAGACATACTGTGAACATTTCCTGTTCAACATCATTTGGGAAATAATTGAGAAAGAAAAAAAAAATTCAAAGGGGGACTAATAATTCTGACTTCAACTGTATATAGTGTGTATTTATGCGTATACGAATGTGTACATGTCTATATATATATGTATATACGTGGGTACATAGGTGTGTGTGTGTATGCATATATATACAGTTGAAATCTGAATTAATAGCCCTCCTGAATATTTGTTGTCTCAAATTTTGTTTAACAAAGAAGATTCTTTTTTACTTAATAAAACAAATAAGACTTTCTCTAGAAGAAAAAATATTGAAGGAAATACTGTGAGGAATTCCAGAATCTGTAAAAAATCATTTGGAAATATCTGAGAAAGAAAAAACAATTCACAGAAGGGTGAAGAATTCTGTATGTGTGTGCGTGTGTGTGTGTGTGTGTGTGTGTGTGTGTGAGAAAGAGAGACTGTCTCTATTTGTGTGTGTGTGTGTTTAATTGTCCCTTTGATAGTGTATCTAATGTCCCCTTCTCCCCCCCGTCTGTGGCTCGTTGTCAGCCGCTCGTCAGCCTGTGTGTGTGTGTGTGTCTTCTGTATATAAAGGCAGTGTTTTCTCACCTGAGCATCAGTCAGTCTTCAGTCTTCAGTGATGTCTCTATTCAGTCTGCTGCTGTTTTTCTCTCTCGCGGCCCACACCGGAGCCTTCGACCTGGGCCAGACCACCCGCTGCGTCCCCATCCCGCCACAGATGAGCGTCTGCCAGGATGTCCCGTACTCAGAGATGCGTTTACCCAACCTGCTGGGTCACGGCAGTCTGGAGGAAGCGGCTCCTCGATCTGACGACTTGAGGACCCTGCTGCACACTGGCTGTCACCCGCAGGCCCGGGCCTTCGTCTGCTCGCTCATCGCCCCTGTATGCCTCGACAGGTACGTGTTGAGACACCTAAAATATTATGAGAAATACACATATATTTTTATTAGTGTTGAGGAGAAATTTGGATTGATTTTAAAATTGTTGGGAATTTATTAAAATTAATAATTTACGAATTTCTGATTAAATGAATAGAAATTAATAGAGAATGTGTAGCTCATGATTTAGAACTGGCAAAATAAATAAATTAATCTGACTTGCATACAAATACACATATATTTTTGTCAGTGTTGAGGACAAATTTGGTATGGTTTTACTACAGTTTGGAATTTATAAAAAATAATAATCAAATAATTTCTTATTGAATGAATGGAATGAATAGAGTCCGTAACTTGATCTCTAAGACTTTGTAAAGACTTCATTTGCATTTATAAATTTACTCTGAAGAGTAAATAAATTAATTTGACTGGCATAAAATTACACATATATTTATTCAGTGCTGAGGATACATTTGGTGTGGTTTTATAACTGTTTGAAATTTATAAAAATGTATAATCAAAGAATTTCCAGTTTAAATGAATAGGGAATCTGTAACTTGATTGCTCAGAACATTCCTGAAAAGTAAATAAATTAATTTGACTTGTATAAAATGCACATATATTTTTGTCAGTGCCAAGGAGAAAGTTGGACTGATTTTATAGCTGTTTGGAATTTATAAATAATAATAATCTAAGAATTTCTGATTGATTGAATGGAAATTAATGGAGAGTCTGTAACTTGATGGCTCAGAGCATGTCTGGACTGTAAATACATTAATTTGACTTGTTTAAAATCACTCATATATTTTTTGTCAGTGCTAGGGAGAAATTTGGATTTATTTTATAACTGTTTGGAATTTCAAAAAATTGAAAATCAGAGAATTTTTGATTAAATTAATAGAAGTGAACGGAGAATCTGTAGTTTGTGATATAGAACTGGCAAAGTACATAAATTAATTTGACTTGTTTATAAATACACATATATTTTTGTTAGTGCTGAGGACAAATTTAGATTTATTTTATAACTGTTTGTAATTTATAAAAATTAATAATCTAAGAATTTTGGGTTGAAATGTATGGAACCTCTGTAACTTGATTGCTCAGAACATTTATTTGCATTAGTAAAATTTACTCTAAAAAGTAAATAAATTAATTTGACTTGCATAAAATGTACATAATTTTTTGTCTGTGCTGAGGAGAAATTTGGTGTAGGTTTATAACAGTTTGTAATTTATGAAAATTAATAATTGAAGAATTTCTGATTGAATGAATGGAAATGAATAGAAAATCTGTAAGTTGATAGCTAAGACATGTTCATATAAACCTGGAAAAAAATCCTTTTCAATGATAATATCTCTTTAAAAATAAAAATATATCTATTTTGTGGGTCTTAAAGCATTTTCAAAGTGTTGTTCCTTCATTAAATCTGCATTTAGTATCATATCAGTGCATTTCTTATGTATTAAACTGATCTTCAGTGTGTTGATGGAGTTGTTCTGCTTGTATTGCTGCATGCTCACGTTTGTTTGTGTGTATCCTCAGGTTCATCCAGCCATGCCGGAGTGTGTGTTTGGCAGTAAAGGAGAGCTGCAGTCCCGTTCTAGCCTGTCACGGACACTCCTGGCCTGAATCACTAAATTGTGAGCGATTCCCGGAGCAGGACGACTGTCTGACGCCGCTGCCCAAACACATCAGTGCTTTCTCCAAAGGTGAGAACTGGAGAAAAAACATGCATTAATATATAACTTCATAATGTAACTAGCTGCACAATACATCATTTCAGCATCCATATCGCAGTGTGATCATTCACAATAGTCACATCGCCGGACATGCAATGTTGAGTCTGGATTATAATTAATCATTTTAATGTGTTTATGAGGCATGAGGATTTTTAAAGCAGTCAGGCCAATGAAATTATTCTGTTTATAACTTTATTAATGATTCATTTGATTAAATTGTCTATAAAATAAAGATATTTTATATCTAAAGATTCAATTGCAGCACCTGAATACTGTTAGACCCCCTAGAAAACAATACAACACTTTATTTAATTTTGAACTTTTTCTTCATTGTATTGATCTGTGCTTGCTTGTAGATTGTTTATTATAATTGTTTTATGCTGATGAACTCCCCTACAGATCCATCTCAATCTAAAATTATAGATTTCTCTTTACAGAGATATTCGAGTCATCTGCTGAAATTGTATTCATATCGCAATGTTGAATGTGTCAAATTTTTTTGTTCTTAATGTAACTAATGCAATGGAATGTAACTAAATCTAATGTAATGTAATGTAATGTAACTAAATGTAATGTAACTAATGTAATGTGATGCGTTTGTGTGTGTTTTCAGAGTTCCCTCAGCCAGCATGTCAGAGCTGTCCATCAGTCCAGGAGTCTCCGTCACTCAAAACCCTGCTGGACTCGCTCTGCCTCAACGACTTCGGTAATTACACCCTTATTTGCATATCAATGAGTTCATTTGTCTTGGTGTTTTGGAGACTCGTCCACTCAAAGAGACCAGAAACACTCAGACTTTAGGAAAATAAAGCTATTTATACAGTATATATTTATGTTTTTTAGGTGTATCAATTAACAATTAAAAATAAAACAGAAATTTTTCTTTTATGATTTTATATATGCTCATATTTATATTTTTTTACATAATTAGGTCTAAAATAAATGCACTATTAATTTTATATTTTATTTATATTATTATCACTGTTATTAATTATGATCTTATGTGTAAATTAAATATAAAAAATATCCCAAAAGTTTTATTACTTTAGTAAAATTTGTAGAATTAAAGTTTAAAGTATATATATATATATATATATATATATATATATATATATATATATATATATATATATATATATATATATATATATATATATATATGCAATTTTAAAAATATATAAATATAATAGTATAATTAAAATAAATAAGTATAACTGAGAGAAAGAATAGAATATTATATCAAGCAAGAATATTATATCAAGCAATATATATATATATATATATATATATATATATATTGCTTGATATAATATTCTTATTTCTCTATTATTAATAATCTTAGAGGCAAAACATCAAAAATACTATTGTGAAAATTTTTTTAAAAATTAAAAATATATAATAAAAAATATATTTTATAAAATTTTACGAATATTTCAGATCTAAACTCTACAAAAGTGAAGAAAAAGATATGATTTAACACATGCCTAAGTGTGTTTGTGTACTGACGGTGTGTTGTTTGTGTGTGTAGCGGTGAAGGTGAAGATCATGCGTCGGCGTGTGCCGTCTTCCGAGCCGGAGTTTACAGTAGAGGGCGCTGTGGAGCTGATCGAGCGCGGGCCGCTAATGCCCTATGACACCGCTAGTCTGCTGCAGCGCTGGATGCTAATCAACCTCCGCTGTGCGCATGCGCTAGTCAGACCCGGCCGTGCGCAGTTATACCTCATCACCGGGAAAATGCGTGCTGGTGGATCCATCGAGATCGCTAATCTGTTCCCGTGGCTGAAGAAAGACTTGCACATCGCCACGGCAACACGCAAGTGGAAACACTACAAGTGCTGAGAGAAAGCGCAACTTATGTATATATTTATAAAAATATAGAAAAAAGACTTTGAAGAGTGATGTGAAGTCCAGATGTTGAGCTTTTATTTCAGTATGTTGACGTACTTCCAACTGAAACTGAATATTAAGCAGGGGGGTGGGGCTTATTTTTGCGCATCATTCACTAGTAGCAATCTAACTGTAAGAGGGGCGTGGCTACAAATAAGAGGGGTGTGGTTATGGATAAGACAGGTGTGTCTACAAATAAGAGGGGTGTGGTTATGCATAAAAGGGGTGTGGCTAAGAATATAGTCACTTTGTTCGAATTGCAGATGCAGATTACCAAAACAAACATTTCAAGTTTTTTTAAAAAAGTGGATTTTAAGCGCAAATGGTATTGTACCTCACATTTTTATTCATTTTTGCTTACAATATTGTGCCCTAGATATGATTTAACACACACACACACACACACACACACAGCTCTTTGATCTCAGACTTGAGATGCACTCCAACTGTTGTACATAGAGATGAAATATTATTATTATTTTCTATTCAGATGTAATTTGTAAAGATATTCAGATGTATAAGTGTATTGTATGTCTGTTGGTTGTTGTTGTTGTTGTGCTGTAAATAATAAATGTTTTTAAACTATATCACTGTGTTTCTGACGGGTTTCCGACTGTAAAGTTTCTCTTCTGTGGTTTGGGATTGAGATTTTTCCCTTTCACTAAAAAGTTTGATATTAAATTACAGATTGTTATAAGAATATAGTGAAGGGTAATTTATGTTCAGAGTCATGATCGTTCAGAATTATAATATGATTATGAACCAGTTCTGATTATTATCAATGATGGAAGCAGCTATACTTGTTTTATTTAATGAATAAAATGTCAAAACAACCGCAATTACTCTAATGTAATGTAAGCTTAACATTAAAAGCATATTTATTGAGACTTTGAACAGTTTAATGCATCATTGATGGATAAAAATGTTAAATATACTGACAACAAGCTTTTGATAAATTCTACTGAATCATTTTAGTGAATCGATTCATTTGAACAAGTTTAAGATGATTCTTTTGAGTCTTCATTCGTTAATTTTCTTTTCGGCTTAGTCCCTTTATTAATCTGGGGTCGCCACAGCGGAATGAACCACCAACTATTCCAGCATGTGTTTTACACTACAGATGCCCTTCCAGCTGCAACCCATTACTGGGAAACACCCATACACTCTCATTCACACTCACTTTGGCCAGTTTAGTTGATCAGTTCCCCTATAGCGCATGTGTTTGGACTGTGGGGGAAACCGAGCACCCGGAGGAAACCCACACCAACACAGGGAGAACATGCAAACTCCACACAAAAACACCAACTGACCCAGCCGAGACTCAAACGCGCCGCCTGAGTCTTTATGTGGAAATGATTAAATACTTTTGGAAAAACAGAGACTTTAGCTGCGTCCCAAATCGCATACTTATGCACTATTCTACGCCATTTTGTAGTATAAATAGTGTAAGTAGTGCGTTCACACTGAAAACACTAAAAATAATAAGTGCACTTCAATTACCCGGATGATGCACTCATTCAGCCGCTAAAATGAAGTGTGTAATGATGAACACTTCACACACTCAACGACCGCAGGTTTGCTTACATAGCGGAAGGGGCGGAGATATCGGACGCACATGTTGAATAACTTTATTTATTTTGGATGGTGAAAGCAAAATTCTCCTACGAGAGTGATTATAGCGCCTCCCGATGGTGAATGCGGCAATACTCACGGCAGGTAATATTTGATAGTTTGGTCATTTATTTCAATGATTTGGCAACCGTCAAACGTCATCAGGGAAACGGTTTGAATTTCCGCTTAGTAAAAAACATTAGTGTGCCATTTGGGACAACACTACATACATGTACTATCCTGTTGAGTGTGTAAGTGCATAAGTACATAGTGCATGAGTACATAGTGTATAGTGTGCCATTTGGGATGCAGCTTTTGTTTGCCTTAACTAGTATCTAAAGACTAACCCTAAAATTGCTGGGTTGTTTAACCCAGTGTTGGGTCAAATATGGATGTTTAGTTTTATGAAATTTTTCAATAAAATATAAATGACACTTTTTAACAAAATAGCTAGCTTTGTCCATATTTGACCCAACTTTGGGTTAAAACAACCCAGCACTTTTAGAGTTAATCTCTATGCTGGTTCAGATAAACTCATTGTCAGTCTAATAGTGTTTAAACATGTTCACTTACAAACTAATAAGAATCGGTTCAGTGAATCAAACTGCACAAATAAACAGATTCACTGAAATGATTCAACATTTGCATGCAGCTGAATCATTTTAGTGAATCGGTTGATTTGAAGGTGGAAATGATTAAACACTTTTGGAAAAATCTATTTTAGATTAGAGATTAACTCTACACATGCTGGATTAAATGTGGACAAACCCAACTATTGGATTAAAAGGTGGGATCTAAATTTATTTTACCAAACATCCATATTTGACCTAAATTGGGTTAAAACAATCCAGCATTTTTAGCATTAATCTCTATTCTAGTTCAGCTAAACTCTTTCACCATCTTGATCTTTGTGTTTAATTAAGTTTACTTATACACTCAAAAGAATCATTTCTAATCTGTTCAGTGAATCAAACTACGCAAATGAAATAATTCACTAAAATGATTCAGATTTTTAAATTAAACTACAGACTCTTTGCAGATTTGTAGAGGAGAGGAGCTTGATGTTTGATTGTGACTGTGTGTGTGTGTGTGTCTGTGTGTGTATGTTTGTGTGTGTGTGTGTGTGTGTGTGTGTGCGTGTGTGTGTGTGTGTGTGTGTGTGTGTGTGTGTGTGTGTGTGTGTGTGTGTGTGTGTGTGTGTTTGGAGGCCCCAAACAAACATGTGCTGACCAAGCATTTGATTGATTCTATTGTAATTTGTTCATTTGAACTGGTACAAGATGATTCTTTTGAGTGTTGGGTCAAATACGGATGTTGATTCTTTCAATTGAATTTAAATGACACCTTTTAACACAATAGTTGTATTTAACCATATTTGACCCAACACTGGATGAAAATAACCCAGCATTTTCAGATGTAATCTCTGCACTAGTTCAGATAAACTCTTTGTCTTTCTAATGGTGTTTCATTATGTTCACTTATACAGTCAAAATAATCAGTTCAGTGAATCAAACTTTACAAATGAACCGACCCACTAAAATGATTCAGCATTTTTAAAACTATAATAGCTGAAAAGCTGAAGCATTTCAGTGAATTGGTTCATTTGAGCAGGTTCAAGATGACTCTTTTGAGTGTTTATGTGGAAATGATTTAATACTTTTGGAAAGACAGAGATTCAGATAGAGTTTACCTAAACTTATATAGAGATTAATTACATCTTTCGGTCAAACATGGATGTTAATTCCTTTAATTAAATGACACTTTTTAACACAATAGTTGTATTTAACCATATTTGACCCAACACTGGATTAAAATAACCCAGCATTTTATATTTAATCTCTGCACTAGTTCAGATAAACTCTTTCCAATAAAGTTTGTGTTCACTTATACTCTCAAAAGAATCAGTTCAATGAATCAAAAACTTCACAAGTGAACTGATTCACTAAAATGATTAAACATTTTTAAAACTATTCTACTGTGAATAGCTGAAAAACTTAATCATTTTAGTAAACGATTCTTTTGAGTGATTCTGTGGAAATGACTTCATACTTGTTTAACTGAACTTATATGTATTTGTTGTTTTAGACATTAACCCTAAAACGGTGCTTTTTTAACCCAATTTTGGGTCAAATATGAATGTTTGGTTCTGTTATATTTTTCAATTAAATTAAAATGGCACTTTTGACCCAATAGTTAGCTTTGTCCAAATTTGACCCAACATTTTTACAGCATTTTTACAGTTAATCTCTACACTAGTTCAGCTAAACTCTGTCTAACTGGTCCAATAGTGTTTAATCATGTTCACTTATACACTCAAAAGAAGTTCAGTGAATCAAACTTTACAAATGAACCGATTCACCAAAACGATTCAGCATTTTTTAATTAATTGAACTACAGAAGCAGATTTTATGCAGATTTGTAGCGAAGAGGAGCTTAATGTTTGATTGCTGCTGTGTGTGTGTGTGTGTGTGTGTGTTTGTGTGTGTGTGTGTGTGTGTGTGTGTGTGTGAATGATGGAGTGTGTGTGTGTGTGTGTGTGTGTGTGTGTGTGTGTGTGTGGAGGCCCCATCATTGTGCGTCTGAATTGAATCATTGAGTGTGTTTTTGGGAGGTGGAGCGGAGAAAAGCTTTCACAGCGCAGCTTTACAGACTCTCAATGAGCCGCGCAGTTTTTCACTGCCTTTAAAAGAAATAAAAGCTTCAAATGCGTCACATGAACTGACGTTTTAGAGACTCCACTTCATAAAGGGCCAATTCTCTGTGTTTGGGAAAAACCCTGCGGAGACCACAAACACACACACACACACACACACACACACACACACACATGCATGCACGCACACACAAACACTTTACTGAAGAAAGAGAAGAAGATAAGCTTTATATTAGGTGTAAAATATATTAGAGTACAATTAACAATAAAATAATATTTAGGGTTTAATAAAATAAAATAAAATAGAAAAATGAAAAAAGTAAAGTAATAAAATAAATCAATAAAATAAAAAAATAAAAAATAAAAAAATAAAATAAATAAAATAAAAAATAAATGAAACAAAATAAATAAAATAAAGTAAATAAAATAATAAAATAAATAAATGAAACAAAATAAATAAAATAAAATAATTGCTTGTATGTTATTTTACATTTTATTTTATGCATTCTTAGGATTATAAAATAAAATATTTATGCACAAATTAGATGTTAAAAATCTAAAAATACAACTAGAAATATAAAAATAAATACACATCATTTATTATTTTATATGATATTATTTATGCATTTTTTTAACATTGAATATTACTTAATTTTAGCTTGCTACTTATAATATTATTTTATAAATTTTATAAATTCTTAATTTTTAATATGCCAGTATATTATTTTACATTTTTATTTTATACATATTTAGGGTTATAAAATAAAATCTTTATGCACATATTAGATGTAAAATATCTAAAAATACAATTCAAAAAATAAAAAATACATATCATTATTTATTTGATATAATCTCATATACAGTGTGCACATTTTGTTAGATTGAATGGGTGTAAAACTGACACATTATAGTATATATTTTTTCAGTTTGGGTGCAGAAAGTGTGTTTGTTAGCATGTTTTGAGCTCCTGTTTAACACACATTATATATTCCGGCTCGCGACTGAAAACGCTGCAAATTTGATTACATGCGGCCTTTGGCTCCGAGTGTCGCAGACAAAGAGGACGAGTGTGTGAACTCAGCATGAGGCGATGTTTGGCCCCGGAGCCTCGACATGCCTGTTTACAGCACACACACACACTTTAACACCCACACACACACTAGGAAAATACCGGATAACAGGTGTAATAATAATAAAACAATAATGTAATCATTTATGTTACATTTGCTAGTTGAAGTCAGAATTATTCGCCCCCCTGTTTATTTTTTTGCCCAATTTCTGTTTAACAGAGAGCAGATTTGTTCAGCACATTTCTAATCAT